GTACAAGTACCGAATTGGGAGAGAGATGGCTTGGTAGTAGTTCACATATGAAAGATCTAGGGATTTTGGTTGACCACAAGTTTAATATGAACCAATAGAGTTGTGAAATTGCAGGAAAAGCTTGTACAATTTTGGGCTTTGTATGTACAGCACTTTGCAAACATTAAAATATTATATAATGCTGATTATGATTGTTGTTATTACAGATCAAAGAAAGGAGTCACAGTATACTCTGTATATAAGGAAGATTTTGTTTAATTCTTTGTACCACATTAAAAAAAAAAAAAGAAACTGGAATTTTCCAAGCTAAAAATCCTGATGGAGATGTCATGTCATATAAGGCAATTGTGATGGTACTAAGATGAAAAGCAAAGGCCAAGTGAATATATGACAGCTGCTCTCGAATGTCTGAAGGATTGTCATGGGAAAATTAAATAGACTTATTGTACTTTTCTCCATTAAGAAAAACTAGTATCTAGAAGATTTCACTTTAAAATGTTAAAGAACTTTCAAAAACTAGAGATGCCCAACATTAAAAGTGCCTAGCTAGCTAAATAGTGACTTCCCTATCCCAGGTTGTATCCAAGCATCAGGGATGCTGTAAGGAGGGTTCTGAATGAGAAAGTTAATCTCTATGCTTTGTTCCAACTTTATGATGCCAGGTAGGTTTTCTTCATTGTATAAATGCTAAGAATGAAGTCCAGAGATAGTGATTTTCTCTTGTCAACATGGGAAGGTGGTAGAGTTTCCCTCAGCCACTATTTCATATAACACAAAGATTTGGAAAGAAACTACATCTAATTGTGTTCCAATGCCCAAGAAATCAGGAGAGCTTGTTTTGGACTTTGTTTTGGGCATGAGTTTTATGTTGGAATCACCAACATTACTCCTTGTACATTTGTCCAAGAACAGAATGAGATGCATAGCCTCTATGGTCACAAACTTCTATGAGCTATGACAATTAGCTCTTGTACATATTACTCCCATAGCTAACAATAAGATAATTTGCAGTAGTAATGTGCAGGGGAATGGGGAGAAAAGAGAAAAAAATTCTAGTCTGCCAATTGCTTAGGAGAAAGGATCAGTTTCATGTGCTTACTTGCATATATCTGCATGGCAGGCTCTTAATTTGGGTATCAGTTCCATAGCTTCTTTTTACCTTTAGTCCTCCATTTTGAGGCTGGGGCAATGGAGTGATTGATGCCTTTTCATTTCCTTCCTGGGGTGGAGCCAGCAATTACTATATCTTTAATATCATCACTATCTGTTATGTCTATAGTATCGTATCTTTAATATGTTCTACTGGCATTTGGGTAACAAAAATGGGGAGAAAATAAAGATTAAAAAAAGGCACAATATTTTTTGAATACTCATTTTAGAGCCATTTAAATAAATGATATAAGAAAATAATGAAGCCTCATAAAACAAATAATCACACAAAATTAGAAAAAGGAATGAATTCTTCAGAATCTTTTTCCCTGTAGCATAAGCCAAAATAGGCTTTGCTATTAGTTTAAGTTTTTCAGTGCTGCCTCAGCTGCCTGCTTATTTTACAGGAGTAGAATTGCTGCTCATATGAGGAAATTATAAGCCAGTGAGACGCCCAGAGCTCCTTGCACCTAATGCGTTTTGTGTCAGTCACGTGCAAATCTTAGCCTTGTGGAGAAACAGCAGAAGGGCAGACACTGGCCAAAAGACAATACTTGTGTGAAAGCAGATAGGCTTAAAAGGAAGAGCAGGTAGGCAGCCAAACTTGAAGATTATAGTTAAAAGAAAGTAAGCAGCATGGCCTTGTCTTGGAGCCACCTGAGAGATTTCCATATGCCACTGACCCTGATGCATCAGTGCTTTCTAGACTTGTCCTGGATACTAGAAAGAAAGAACCCCACAGTGTAGATTCCATTGTACCTGAAACTTCACCACCAGTTCTAGGAGATTGAATTGTGTTTTCCTATTGTGGGTAAGCAAAGGTTTAATGGTCAAGTATAGTACTGCTCCTAATAAAAGTGTTTGAGATGGCATCAATTTTAAGGATGACTGAAAAGAACATTTACTTTCCAATTCATTTCCTTGTTATTCACTTCCCTTATCTTATTCTGCTTTAAATGTCTCCTGGTTTAAAATCCATTTGCCTATTTGTGCTCTGGAAAAGATATATTGGTAGGGGCTTATGCTGAAAATTTGGGCAGGGGATGATTCCAGAAGGCACATTAAATCTAGGTGGTATTGAGGGGCTTTGTTGAGGGACTGGCACTATAGCCCCAATAGCTAATTGAGGTTGTTTTTTGATTTGCACAGAGGTAGAAGAGTATATCATGAAAAAAAATAAAAGAGAAATGAGATGAGTGCATGATTTCACTTGTCCAGCAATGTGGCACTGGCTTTTCTTGAATGGACTATTTTCTTTCTACCCTCTCTTCCTGGGATCCTTTTTTTCTGCCTCTCTGGTCATAGACACATAAGCCATGACCACATTTATAGCTACTATCATTATTCTTCTGTTCATTTTAGGACATAGGCTATATGATTATATCTGTGTTTCAGATACGAATTAAATTTAAACTCTTGAGTTCCTTTCCAGGAATGAAATTCTGTGATTCATTAAAGAAAAAAGAAGAAAACAAAGTGTAAAAGCAACAGACTAGTGAAGATATTGAATCATTAAAATTTGATGTGAAAGACAATAAGTCATCGTGTCAGAAAATTATTTTGGCAGATGGTCCCCTAATAAGGTATTCAGAGGTCAAGTAGTTTATTTCTTGACCCTCTCTCACTGCATTAAATATTACATCATAAAAATCATAATTAAGAGATTTTACTTTTCTTATTTACCCTAAGATGACTTCAATTTATATTAGTAGAGTAAGTTCACCATCAGCAACTCCATACTCTGATGAAATCACAGATATTGTCAAAAACAACTATATTTTGTTTATGTTATATGTGTATGTGATATTCCTTATTCTTTATAGAAGAACAGGAATATAAGTTTCATAGGATGAGTTATGGCATGGATAGGTTGGAGTTGTGTTCTGTATAACTGGAAGGTCTTCAATAGAAGTAAAGGTCTGAGGAAGTTTTGGAGTATTAGTTTCTCACATTATTGGAAGAAAGGAGTGTCATTATCATTAAAACCTGAATCTATTTATTGAATAAACTTCTGTAGAGATTCTGACTATTCTTCAGAGAAAGGTTTTACAGATACATACACCCTAGGGCATCCTATAATAATAATGGTCAACATTTATATTGTATTTCACTATTCACAAAGCTAATTACCTCATTTGATCTGCAGAATATGACTGGAGGTAGGTTAGTACAGGTGTTTTCTTTTTCTTTTTTATTTTAATCCTTAATGCATTTTATATTTTTATTAATTTATTTATTTTTAGTTTTCAATATTCACTTCTACAAGATGTTGAGTTTCAAATTTTCTCCACATTTTGCCCCTCCCCCAACTCCAAGGCAGCATGCATTCTGAATATTCCTTTCCCTAATCTGCCCTCCCTTCTATTACCCCCCTCCTCTTATCCCTTTCCCTTTCTATTTTCCTGTAGGGCAGGATAGATTTCTATACCCCATTGCCTATATATCTTATTTTCCAGTTGCATGTGAAAACAATTTTTAACATTTGTTTTTAAAACTTTGAGCTCCAAATTTTCTCATTTCCTCCCTTCCCAACTACCCTCATTGAGAAGGCATGCAACTCGATACAGGTTATATATATGTAGGCTTGTTGTGAAAAACTAACTATATTTCCCTCCATCCTATCCTGTCCCCCATTTATTCCATTTTCTCTTTTGACCCTGTCTCTCCTCAAAAATGTTTACTTCTGATTACTCCCTCCCCCAATCTGCCTTTCCTTCTCTCATCCCCCTGCTCTCTTATCCTCTTCCCCCTTATTTTCCTGTAGTGCAAAATAGATTTCCATACCTAATGGAGTGTGTATGTTGTTCCCTCCTTAAGCCAAATCCAATGAGAATAAGATTCACACATTCCCTCTCACAATCCCCAACTTCCCCTCTACTGTAAATGTTTTTCCTTGTCTGTTTTATGTGAGATAATTTACTCCATTCTACCTCTCCCTTTCTCCTTCTCGTAGCATAATCCTCTCTCACCCCTTAATTTTATTCTCCAGATATCACTCCTTCATCTTCAACTCACCCTGTGTCTCATCTCATCTCTCTCTCTCTCTCTCCTCTCTCTCTCTCTCTCTCTCTCCAACCACACTAATACTGACAAAAGACACATGAGTTACAAATATCATCTTTCCATGTAGGAAAGTAAACAGTTGAATTTTAATAAGTCCCTTATGATTTCTCTTTTATTTTTACCTTTTAATTTTTCTCTTGAGTATTGTATTTGAAAGTTGAATTTTCTATTCAGTTCTGGTCTTTTCATCAAGAATGCCTGAAAGTCCTTTATTTCATTGAATGTCTATTTTTCCCCCTGAAGGATTATACTCAGTTTTGCTGGGTCTGTGATTCTTGGCTGTAATCCTATCTCCTTTGCCCTCCAGAATATCATATTCCAAGACCTTCAGCCCCTTAATGTAGAAGTTACTAAAGCTTGTGTTATCCTGATTGTGTTTCCACCATACTTGAATTGTTTTTTTTTTCTAGCCGCTTGCAATATTTTCTCCTTTACCTGGGAATTCTGGAATTTGGCTGTAATATTATTAGGGGTTTTCCCTTGGGAATCTCTTTCAGGAGGTGATTGGCAGATTTTTTCCATTTCTATTTTACCCTCTGGTTCTAGAATATCAGAGCAGTTTTCTTTGATAATTTCTTGAAAGATGATGTCTAGTCTCTTTTTTTGATGATGTCTTTCAGGTAGTCCATTAATTTTTAAATTCTCTCTCCTGGATATATTTTCCAGGTCAGTTGTTTTTCCAGTGAGACATTTCACAATGTTTTCTTTTTTTTTTCCATTCTTTTGATTTTGTTTTACAGTGTCTTGATTTCTCATAAAGTCATTAGCTTCCATTTGCTCCATTCTAATTTTTTTTTTTTTTTTAGGAGCAGATAGCAAGTTTATTTGGTGAAAGCAGAGAGCAAATCGGCCAAAGAAGACACATGGTGGGGGTTGGAAGTAAGGATGTCGGTAACCCTGAAAAAGTAGTTAGTTGCTTCAGGGGCAAGAGGATGATTTTCACACTGAGAAAAGTTAGGGGGTTCTTTGTGGAAGGAGGAGTTGTTCTCAGCTGTTCAGCACCATCCAGACTAGCTCTTCATAGTTGATACAACCATTGCAGTCTTCATGCCCTGCCACCAACACTTCCACTTCTTCCTCTGTCATTTTCTCACCCAGGGTGATGAGGACATGTCGTATTTCAGCCCCCATGACTGTGTCGTTCCCTTCCTTATCAAATACCCAAAGCCCTTCAATGTAGTCTTCAATTGTGCCCTGGTCCTTATTCTTTTCTACAGTCTGTAGCGTTGGCAGAAAGTGTTCAAAGTCCAGCATCTTCATATTCATCTCATCACTCTTGGGATTCCCTAAGACCTTGAGCACCTCAGCATTGGTAGGGTTCTGGCCCAGGGCTCGCATCACGTCCCCACACTGGCTGTATAATATCTTTCTATCCCCTATTCGGTCAAACAGCTGGAAGTCCTCCTTGAACTGTGTTGTCTGATCATCCGTGAAGTCACACATCTTGGCCGTGCAGTTCACTCACTCGCTCGTACTCGCTCCATTCTAATTTTTAAGGAAGTATTTTCTTCAGTGAACTTTTGGACTTCTTTTTTCCATTTGGCCAATTCTGCTTTTTAAGGCATTCTTCTCCTCATTGGCTTTTTGGAACTCTTTTGCCATTTGAGTTAGGCTATTTTTTAACGTGTTATTTTCTTCAGTGTTTTTCTGGTCTCCTTTAGCAAGCTGTTGACTTGTTTTTCATGATTTTCTTATATCACTCTCATTTCTCTTCCCGGTTTTCCCTCTACTTCTCTTACTTGCTTCTCAAAATCTTTTTTGAGCTCTTTCATGGCCTGGGACTGATTCTTATTTTTCTTGGAGGCTTTGGATGTAGGAGCTTTGACTTTGTTGTCTTCTTCTGGTTGTGTGTTTTGATCTTCTTTGTCAACAAAGAAAGAATCTATGGTCTGACTTTTTTTTGTGCTGTTTACTCATTTTTCCCAGCCAATTACTTGAGTTATAAACTGTTAAGGTAGGGGTCTGCTTCCAATGTGGAGAATGTACTGTCCCAAGCTTTGAGGGTTTTGTGTAGCTGTTTTCAGAGATACTTCTAGGGACCTGTAAATTTTCACTTCTTCCAAGGTTGCATGATCAAGGGTGAGGTGTTTATTCCTTTCCTGGCTGGTGCTCTGGTCTATGAGTGGCCACAAGCACTCTTTTATGCCTTGGAACTGTGAAGAGGATTCCTTCCCTATCACCACCATAAGCTCCACTGTGCCAGTGCTCCTTCTTGCCCCAGGACCTCCACCTAGAGCTGCAACCCAGATCCAAGCATAGACTAAGCAAGAGAATCCTGCCTCAGCACCAGCAAAGAGATCCCTGCAATCCTCCTCTGATCAGCCACTAAATTCCCCTTCCTTGTGGTCCTAGAGCTCAGGAAGCAGCTGCTACCTGTGGACTAGGGTTGGGACCAAGCTTCTCTCTCACCACGGTCTGACAGACCTTTCCTATTAACCTTCTAAGTTGTCTTTGGAGTTTGTGGGTTGAGACATCTGGAAAACACTACAGCTGCCAGTGATTCAGGCTCCTGAGGTCTGCTCCAGGTTCACTGAGGCCTGGTCTTTGACTACATGCCCACACTGAACTGCCTTTCTCTCCCAGCCTGGCATGATAGACCTTTCCAATCAACCATCTATCTTGTCTTGGGCTGGAAATTTGTTTCACTCTGTCTTTTTGTGGGTTCTTGTGCTGTAGAATTTGTTTAGAGTCATTTTTTTTTACATGTATTTGGAGGTGTTTGGGACAGAGCTCAAGCAAGTCATTGCTTTTACTCTGCCATCTTGGCTCTGCCCTATTGTTTCCTTTGTAAGGGCAAGGTCTGTTTTTGCCTTTCTTTATACCTCCACTGGTTAGCACAGAGCTTGGCACACAGTATGCAATTAACAAATGTTTTTGTTGATGTTGATCATGATGATGATGATGTTTATATTATCCTAATTTTGTTGATGAGGGAACTAAGGGTCAAATAGTTTGCGATATCTGTAGGTTCCCATACCTAATAAGTGTGAGTGAGTAGATTTTGAACATTGGCCTTGCCTGACTCCAGATCACTGTCTGCAGCACCATACCACTCCTCTACTATGAGACATAGAAGAATGACATTATCTTTTCACACACTGAAATAGACATAGACAAACACATATTCATTTAACCGCCACTTATAATCATTTTCTAAGAAATGTCATTTTATTCTGGCATAAATTTCCCTAGTTCATGGCATAGACCATGTTTTCGTAATGTTCTAAAACAATTCTAGTGTACAGAGCACACAGTTCTACTCATCTGCCAGAAGATGAGGTCTGGAGTAGTGACTTGGATACAATAAACACTTAATACATATTCATTAGATGAATGAATGAGTGGATTATCTGGCATACCTTATAGAGTGTCACATTTTAGATATTTCCCATATTCCCAGATTATTCCCAGATTTTCATAGATTTCCATGTAATGCTGTTCTCTTTGGAATGCCTCAATAAATGTCATAAGCCATTTTTTAAATACAGGGTTTCTCAGCAACTTGTCCACAAATTATTTTACATGGCATGGAGGTGCCTCTGGGTTCTCTGTTCTATGGTAGCTGGAGCACAAGTTCTGGAAAACAAGTCCGGCAGAAGATTCTGTCCATGTCTAGAGCCATAATATGAGCCCATCTAAATTCCAAGAGGCTCATCACCCGGTTAGATGTGAGGTAATGATATTTTACTACATGTTAGCTTTTAAAGGCCACATACCGAGGTACAAGAGGCTATCATTTCCATTGGTGAATGGAGGACCCATGTCAGGGAACTCATGGTTCTTTCAAATCTAAAGGTAAATGAACAGCTGCTTCCCATTGAGATGGAATGAGCCTGCCTGAGCCAAGTCAACAACCTGAGGCTAAGCTTCAGGCCTAATGGAGTGTTAGGGACTGCTGAGGAAAAGAGCTATGACTAGGTAAGTCAGGCATATGGCAACAGGAAATAAACTGTGGCTTCACTGATAACTGAATCAACAATGTTTATGAAGTCTCTATTATGTGCTGGACATTGTGCTAGATGATTGGGATGTAAAACAAAGGATGAAACAATCTAGAGATTGTTACTTACTCTTAGGATACTCACGTACTAATGGGAGAGACAAATGCATATACAACTATATATAGATTAAGTAAAGAGAGAATTTTCTGATTCCAATTCCAATTTGAATTTGATTGTGTGACATGGGAGATACCGGTAAAGGGCTGCCCAGTATGGAGTGCCCACAGCAAAGAAGGCACTGTGTTCTATGAGCAGAGCAAACTTGTAGTAGCTCAAAAGAAATGTGAGATATGCAAATTTAGAGAACCCACCCCAAATGTTCTTATGGATTATTTGTGCCTGACCTGTGGTAGAGCATCCTGAGCTTCTATTGGTCTGATCAGCCACAGCCAGACACACTGAAACTTGACCGCGACATAGTGATGGCATTTTGGTCTTCTTTGACTCTGAAGGATAGCAACTGACCAGAGAGAATAAATACAAAATAATAGAAAGTTGTTGTACTTAACAGGGTAGTTTCTGAGGCCAGGAACTGATAGTTGTGACTCAGAAAATAATTCATGTAGACAGTAGTAGTTATGGTACATCTTACAGAGAAGAAACATTTTATGTGGCAGAGGAAGGGAGGAAATGTACTCTAGACAGTACAAAGGGAGATCAGCCAGTGCAAAGGGACAGAAATGGGAGGCGGATGCTCTTGTGCAAGGGGCATCAAGAAGTCCAGTTTGGCAGGATCCCACAGTAAAGAAGCAGAAAACATCCAAAGAAGCTAGAAACAAAATTTAGGGTCAGGTTGTGTAGAGTTTTAAAATCCAAAAGAGAAGTGTGTATCCGTGTGTGTGTGTGTGTGTGCGTGTGTGTGAGTGCATGCGTGTGTGTAATAATAATAACTTTTTCCAGAGGCAATACAGGAAAACTAGAGTTTATGTATTGAGTAGGGGAGGAATATAGGAAGATCTGTGCTTAAGGAAAAATACTTTGGCAACACTATGGAGGATGAATTGGAATAGAGGAACAAAGGAGGGACAAAGGCTCCATAAACAGTGATAAACTCTGCAATCGGCATTGCAGGGGGAGGGAAATGTGCACTCCGCAGAGATGATGCATGAGCTTTCGGTTATATTCAAAATCAGGAAGAGCATTAAAACCAATGCCCATTTTGGATGTTAGATACAATAAGGGACTATTGGAATAATGGAATTGTTTATCCATTAATATTTATGTTTGGCCTTTTCCAATACAATTCCTCACATAATTATTTGGCTTAGTGAACCTTTATAATGTTAAAAGAACTGTGTGTGTGTGTGTGTGTGTGTGTGTGTGTGTGTATGTGCATATGTGTATATTCATTTAGCTGAGTCAAGAATGAGGTATTCTGCAAAAAATGAATTTTCCAGACAGTTGAAACATTGCTTTAAACATCAAAAATCTTCTTTGTAAATTGTAATCATTATAGCAGAAAACTTGCATCAATTTGCTTTTTGTTTCATGCTTTCTTTTAAAAAATCATTCATATGCTTTAATTTTTGCTTGACGACCCAGGATCATTTTGAATGTCCATTTTTATATATCCTTAACTAGGCTGAGACAATGTTGATTTTGCCCCAGAGTGATAAATTTAGAGGGTATCAAACTTAGAGTGTGCTGACAGAGGACCCATAATAGCACAGCAAAGAACCATTTTCTAATACTTTCTATATAATATTTCATTTGCTTCTGACAAGAATTGTGGGAGGTAGGCAGAGCCTGGTTTAGAACCCAGATCTTTTGGCTCCCAAATCTTTTCCACTCTAATGATTTATGTTAGAAGATTGTTTTCTTTAAAAAATAGTCAGTTGAAGAGGTTCACCTATGTACTGCATTGATCCTAGGGTCGTCTTCAGGAAGAAGAAAAAAATAATAATATTTCCTTTTCTATGTAGCAGCCCTTTAAATATCTGAAGGCAGCTGCCATGGCTTCTAGGCCTTATCATCTTGAGGTGAATCATCCTCAGTTCCTTCAACTGTACTTTTAAGCAGCATAGTCTTAGAACAACATTCCCGGGCTTTCCATTCAACTGGCTGTGGGAACACAGGCCAGTGTCTTTATACAATTCTGTTTTGGCCTGACTTTTTAGAATATTATCCATGAGAATGTTATGTTGGGGTAAACTTGTTACAGAGGATTTGGCTGAGATTTTTGAAAATCAACATAGTTGTGAGAAAAAAATTTAAACTGGGAAAGAGTATATTATTACAGTGCCTCTGTCAAATAAAGAATAAGTGAATCATCTGGGAGGAAAACGAAAAGCTATTCTAACCTTCACCCACACCTTTTGGAAACATTTTGGAGAGGTTTGCGTAACTTTTCTTCGGTATTTTTCATGTTTGTGCACTTTGCCCTTCCTGGTTGTGGACAGACCTTAGAGAAGATTAGTCAAATAATACACAAGAAAAACTGTCCCTGTCAAGTGGCATAGTGGATAGAGTTCTG